CTTAAATCCGTCCAGATGAGATGCAAGTTCCACTCAAGCCGCAGCTTCTCACGAACCGCTGCCTTGTGGGACTGGCTTCCAAGAAGTTGCTTCCTCGATCATTATCTAGGGTTAACCGTTATCGTCCACACACATACGCATAAGCTGTACCTTTTACGCCGTAACCATGTAATTCACGTGATCCCAGCGCCCTGTGTAGGGCGAACATATATAAAAGAAATATCGTTTTATTAAAGATACCCTATTCTTTCTTTATCAATCTCTAAACTGTCTATCAAAAAGCCACAACAATAACCGCACAGTAGTAGTTGCCTATCCTCACACAGACTGAATTTGTTCGACGCTGTTTAAATTTAAATATCCATCAGCAAGCTGTGCTTTTCAGCGTGGCCTGAGCTGATCGATGGAGTGCCAAATAAAAGTGGCTTAATTTGTATTGCTATCGCTTCTAGATATTATGTTTAGTGCAAACGCCACGTTGATGACATAAATTTCTTCGTACAGGAAAAAAAATTAAAAATTTCTTTTAGAGAAATATAAATGGTTGTCATTGAAGCAAGATGGCTCCCGTAACAATAAGGCCGCTCTTTTCAAAATGGCTCCCGTATAAATGGTTGTCTGTTGACTAAAGGCCGAAAGGAACATCTGCCGACGAGGTTTGTTGACGGAGATAGTATATAACTCTAGCAAATGTCAACGTTTATCGCAGCAAAAACAGTTCCAGAGAGCTGACATATACCAAGAACACTGACACAAAATATAAATTATATAAATATAAATTATATATATATATATATATATATATATATATATATATATATATATATATATATATATATCGAACAAACATTTACTTAAATATTTTAAAAATGTTGTTAATACTGTTTATTATAAACAAAGCATTTACTTAAATATTTTTTTATCTAAAAAATAACCTATAAACAATATATATATATATATATATATATATATATATATATATATATATATATATATATATATATATATATATTCTGCCTTTCAGGGTTAAGGGTGAAAGCCATGTCAAGCTAAGATACCTTATATGCATATAGAAAAATGTATTTTCTTTGAAGAAGTCATGCCCTAAGACTGGAATTGTTTTTTAAGCTTGCATATTTATCCAAGGTATTCGTTTTCTTCACCCATAAGAGAAATGATTGAGGGATGCTGATGAATCGGAGAGCCGAGTTCGAATTCCAGTCGAATTCATTTCATTCGCTTACGTCCTAATACCCTTGGGAAAGGTATGGATCCTCTTCTTCTTTCCCCCCACCAAGCCATGGGTAAATTGCAGGACAGGCTGGGTTCTATAGCCTGGCAACTGGTCTATTGCAGAAAGAAATGGCAACCTACTGCGGCAAAAAATCTGCCTCGCCAGTCATGTATCGAAAGATACATGATCGCCTAAGCGTGCATCACGCATGGCACATAACTGAACTGATGGGTCATTTAATGCCAAAATTTAATTTTCTTGGGGGCTGTGAAGTAATAAAAATATGTTATATGTTATTCTGCTTTCACAATTGAATACATGGTAGATAATACACAGCTTTTGTGCTTATATATGTTTTTGGGGACATTACTAGAAGAAGTGATATATATGTGTTTTCTTTTGTTGAAATTATATTATGGAATAGAATTTGAGTTAAGAAACTGTAGGAGAGATGGGTTTATTTTTATGAAACTTCTTTCTGATGTTGTCAATTTTACTTTACAAAATTATTTTCGTACTTTCATAGTGTTTTTTTTTTTTTTTTTGGTGGGTTCAATATTTGCTCTTAGCTCGGACCCCCTAACAGGTGCTACTACCCCAGGTCAGTGTGGACCAGAGAACAAAAGCAATGAAGAAGTTGGTTTTACACTCCTCAAAAGCTCCAAACTCCCGACAAAATGTCTTGCTGCTAGATGTAGTTTATCCTCATACCCAGGACTATTTTTTTCGCCTTTGTTATCCGCAATACTTATTATAATTAAAAAGAAAAAGGATTAATATTAACACGTTGGGATACATTTTTATTATTTTATTTATTTGCTTCTTTTTTTTCTAAAGTCAGTAACTGCTTTACCTTCTGGCTAAAGAAAACGACGTCTCTTTCCCAAGTGACCAGTCTTGTAGCCATAATATTTACCTCACTGACATATTCTCAGGCCAATGAATTTATTATCACAATCTATTGATTAAAATAGACTAAACTACCGTTCTCTGAAATCGACATCTTTTATTTATGGTAAACACGGATTCTACAAAATTAGTTTTAAGTAGAAAACTTTAAACTACACGGACAACGTTCTACTTTTCTATCCACTGAGCTAAAATGTTCCTGACGTATTTCACAAGTGTACGCAAACAATATAAAATCCCCAGTCGATAAATTTAAATAGTAATATGGAGTATTCAAAAAAGAAAATGGTTGGCGAGTTTCTAAGGTTTGCATAGGTTATCGTCATGTATTTAGCCTCAAAACTTTGGCATACTTCAGATGCAAAAGTCCCCACTTGATCACCACGAGCTCTGTAGGAAACACCCCCACCTCAAATCTTTATGGCCAACCGTAAAACAAGCGACATAGCTAAATAATATTCACCCGTTTTACGGAGAGTCGATACTTTCTTAAGGTATCGAATATTGCTGCCACATCCAGTCTGCTGCTTCTGCTCTATATTTGGAGATCCTTCTTAAAATCCAAAGAAGTATTTGCAATCGTATAGGTTCCGACCTGGCATCTCGACTTTAGTTACATTTTCACTACCGTAAGGTAGCGTGTCTCCGCC